TGGTTTAAGTGTTTTTCTCTAATGATGGTTTGTTAAAGAAACCTCAATTAATTTACTGCACAATAAGGAGTGAAAAATGATTTGCTAAAGCACTGTTTGTTTCTTTGTTTATCAAATTTGTCACCACCCATCTCATTGAACAACTTTGCACGGTTTACAAAACAGTTAAAATGATTAAAAGTACAAAATTAGAACAGTCAATAGAAAACATGTCCTGGCCATGACTGCCACCTGCTCCTCGAGCAGGAGTCATGAGTTCAGGAGGACCCCCAGATTACGCATTGAGTCCATTGGGGCAGTGCCACCCCTTCACAAACCAAAGATGGTCAATCCTTGGATACAGAGGGGCCTCCAATCCATAGTCACTTGGTCTTACCAGGGTTCAGCTGAAGTTTGTTCCATCCCATCCAGACCCCCACAGCCTCCAGAAACTGGAAAAGGGTGGTCACGAGATCTCTCACCTCACCTGGATGGAGATGTATAACTGGGTATCATCTGCATGTTGATGATGCCTCATCCCATGGTGGCAGATAACTGAACCCGGTGGTTTCATGTAGATGTTAAAAAGGAGCGTCGATAGTACCAAACCTTGGGGCACCCCACAAAGAAGGGCCCGTGAGCTGGACATCTTGCCCCAATCAACAACAAATGGGATTCACCTAGGAGGAAGGAAGGGAATCAGCGCAAAACTGCTGCCCACTCCGAACTCCCCAAGTCGACACAAAATGGTACCATGGTCGATAGTATTGAAAGCTGATGAGAGGTCAAGAAGAACAAGGATGGATGCACTATCCCCATCCCACTCCTGCCAGAGATCATCCATGAGTGCGACCAATGCCGTTTCCATCCCATATCTGGGCCTGAAACAGGACTGAAAATGGTCCAGATAATTCATTTCCTCTAGGATCCTCTGGAGCTGCAATGCCACCACCTTCTCAACTACTTTCCATAAAAAAGGGAGGTAGGAGACCAGACAAAACATGTCCAGTAGGGTGGGATCCTGGAACTTGTCCAGTAGGGTGATGGCTTAAGTCTTGAGCCTCCCCAAATCAAAACCAAGAAATCACATTATGATCAAACACTCTCTCA